AGAGCGATTGTTCTAACTACCGTTGGCATTTGACCACGGCGGTGGCTTGAATGCTATCATAGGGATTTCTCACCTTTTCTTGAACTATATTTAGGCGTTTCTGGGTCCTTGTGTGCCTCTTCAACGGGTCCCAAACTAATCTGCTAGGGGAAGCCTGGCAGCCAGAGGACCTTAACCCCCAGCTGCCTGCCAATGATGGAAGTCGTAGTCCAGCCCATCTGAAGGGTGGCAGTTTATGGGAGGCGATGTGATGGATGTTTCAGCGTTATCCTTTAAAGCCTCCCAAAGGTTCACCGCTTGTGGTGGTGGGACAGCTCAGCAGTGCTGCTGACCCTGAGAGCGTGGCTGGAGGGGCAGGCGCTTCTGGTAGGTCTCCCTTGATGCCGATGAGGTCAAAAGAGGGTGGGGAAGCTAAAGGCAATCCACAGTGGGGAGGGGAGAGATGCAGCTGTGTTGGTGTGAAGGAACTCCAGAATCAAAGCTAAATGAAGACACTGACAAACCACATCTGTGTTATTGTCAAGGAAGATGTATGGGCATGGCTGAAACATGTAGGCATCTCTGGGTGCCAGGGGACAAGGCTTCCAGGCCCAAAGGCATGGGGAAAGATCATCAGATGCTCATGAGGAGATCTGGAGGTGATGGTGAAGCCAAAATAAGGCACAAGAGTATCTGGTCATTGACAGTGCCTGCATCCTTGTTTGATGGAAACGCAAACATCTGGGACGTGGAAAACAAGAAGCAGCAACCAAGAAAAAACTGAAATTGTCAAAGCAGAAGGAGAGGCTACTAAACTGGATATTTCAGGAATAGGTGAGTGGAATGAAGCACTTCAACCCAGATATTCAGGGTGACATGGCAGTGATACTCTGAAAGAACATTGTTAATACATGCTCAGCTATAGTTGAGTCAATGACAGGCTCATATCTTTGAGAATTAGTGGATATCCAGTGAACATCAAAGTTGTTCAAGCATATGGCCCAATTCCAGATGCTGGAGGAGGCATTACGGAAGAAGAGCTAAATGCAATGTCAAGAAAAGGTTCTCCCTCACTGGAGCTTTTCAGGCTAAGGGTGGACCCCATTTGCCTGGGACAGCATGAGGATTCCTACCCTGGACAGGGGGTTGGACTAGAAGGCCTCCAGGACTCTTCCCACCCCGTGAGACCAGGATTCAGTGAAACGTTGTTCATGGGGATTGGAATGCAAAAGTTGGAGAAATAAAGGAAGATGGAAATACAGGAAGATGGATTGGGCAAAGGCCCTCATGCAGGAGAGACTTTTCGTGAGTTTTGCAGAGAATTGTTTATTGCCAAAGCTGCTTCTAGCAGCAGAAACACAGACTCTGCAGGGACATTGCCAGATGCACAGCGTGGGAACCAAATCATCAACATAATAGGGAGCAGAAGATGGAGAAATACAATCCAGTCCCAAGGAGACCTCCATCTTGAAAAGCGATGGCTTGAAAATGTCAAAGATGACCTTTCTGAAATTTCTCTGGCTTTCAGAACAAGCTATTGTGATAGCCAGAGAAAGATGGAAGATGAAAGCATTGAGCAAAAAAGGAAACTCAGTGACTGAACACAGACTTCCAACATCAAACCAGAAAGGACAAGGAAAAGCATCTCCATCAAGAATGTTGACATGTAGAGGAAAATAACAAGAAAGGGAAATAAGAGGTACATTTTAAGCAGATTGGAGGAAGTCAAAGAAAAACGTGGAGTTAATTTAGGAATACTGCTGCCTTAGTTGCAATCTCCTGCTTTTAATTGTAATATTCCTATTTTAATGGCAAAAGCTTCCAGATTTCTTTCAATGGGAAATAGTACAGAAATGCCCTAAATACATAAATACTTGGGCAAATGGGCAGAATTGCAGATGAAGTATCCATTGAACTGTCTAAAGCTTTAGGAGAAGGGACGGTTAAAGTGCTAACAGTTATACGTCAGCAGACACAGAACAAGACAGGTGGCCTAGAGATGAGAAAAGATTGGACTATATCAAAGACGGGTGATGCAAGAGACTGCACAAATGACTGAAGCACTGCACTAATTCTTCACACAAGCAAAGTCTTGCTTAAAAACTTACACAGAAGAAGAGAAGGGAAGGGAAGGGAAGGGAAGGGAAGGGAAGGGAAGGGAAGGGAAGGGA